TAATCTAACACGGAACTAATATGAGAAGTCTAATTTTTGGAATTATAATTAACGGAGGAGAATAACAGACATGATGTAGGGACAGGGGCGGACCTAGAGATGGCAATTTCGGCCGACCTATTTTAAGGATCTTTTTAAGCATAGACGTCATGTCTTTTTAGTTCTAAGGATGCTTTCTTTTGGGTTGTTTTTAGTCCCAGATCAGACCAGACCAGACTTCCATAGTTATAAAATACACAGAGACCAGTCGTTTACCAGACCAGACCAACAAATTTCAGTCCAAAAGAAAACATCCTAAAGTGCTATTACCCTTTAATGTTCCTCCTTTTTTGAATTTTTGAAGTGCAATTCGCAGCCCCAAGTTTTCACATCATCAATTTCACTCGGATGTTTTTTTAAAGACGTGTGTTATTAATTAAACACTTTTTACTCCGTACAACATGTTTCTAAAGATAGACTTATTGTTATTATTATTATACTAATTATTAGTTATTATGGTTACTTTTGTTATTATTTTAACATGTAGCTGTAAATTGTATTATCTAATATTTCAATTACTTAACTGTGTAAACTTCAATTTTACTATTTTCAATGCATCTTATCTTACTACGTATTTTATATTTAAGTAATTGCTCCCAATAGGAGTAAAACATAACACATTTCTCTAAATAGGAGTTAACTCCTAATCTTCCCCAAATAAAAGTAAACATTAATTTGTTACCCCTAACACCCGGCCTATTCTAATTATTTATTGCTCCCTAGTTCCCTTGGGCAACAAGGGCAGTCCGTCGGCGGCGGGGCAGGGCGTTGGTAGCGACGCCAATCCGGTGGTGGTGGTGGCAAATAGAGGGGGCCGGCGGTGGAGCTCTGGCGACCGGTGGAACCCTATTGTAATTAATTATCGCCCCTAGTTCCCTTGGGCAACCAAGGCAGTCCGTCGGTGGCGGGGCAGGGCGTTAGTAGCGGGGCAGTCCGGTGGCTGCGGTGGCAGACAACGGCGGGGGGCGGCGGAGCTCCGGCGGCTGTGACGGTGGTAGGAAGCATGGGGAAAATCCGGAAATTTTTTGCCTTGCCGGAGCTCCGGCTGGGGAAGTTCGACGAGCTCCGGTGGCGGCAGTTCGGCGAACTCCGGTCGGCCGGCGGTACTGTAGCAGCAGGCAGCTGCATGCAGCAATAGGCAGGGGCATCCTTGTCCATTTAGAAAAATACTCCTATTTTGGGAATTTTAAAAAACTCTACTCCTATTTTTGCACAACTTCTATGCCTTACTCCTATTTTGGTAATTGTCCCCTTGTATTTTTATTCTCCTTATCTTTCCTTTTTTTTTTAATTCTAATACTCCCTCCGTCCCGCTAAGATTGTCTCATTTTACCTTTTCGGGAAGTCCCACTAAGATTGTCCCATACCAAATTTGGTAAAGATTGTGTGACTCTAAATCATTCTTACTTTATTCTTAATTTATCAATTTAATATCAATCACACAAACTCACTTTTCTTAATAATCGTGCCACCTTCTCTCGTCCCAATCTTAGTGGGACGGAGGTAGTATCAAGGATCGATTCATGTTAGCCGACTACAAAATATTTTGAGATTAAGGTTTGGATGTTGTTGTATTCAACAAATCAATTTTCTACTACGTATTATATTTCATTTTGAAATTTGCAACTTTATAGAACTTGCAATATATTTCCCAAATATGTTTGTATCTTCCAAAATAGGACTATTATGTTTTTTATTCCCTAAATAGGAATAACTAATGTTATTTGTTGGCAGCATCAGACATTAAATATGATAGTATTTCCAAGCTTGACAATAAATGCTTCTATTTGAGGAATTTTTCGTACTCTATGTGCATACACCGACCTCTGATGCCTAGATCAGCCACTGTGTAGGGAGCTTTTAATTACTTCTAAATTTATGATAAAGTTGCTTATTAGAACATGACACATGGCAAAACTTCCTGTAATTGTATCTTTGAAATGTATTATCTAAAGATAATTAATTATAGTGTGTTACAATAGAATTGAGGTGAGATTAGAATTGTTATTATTACATTATTTTAATTTAATTAATATGTTGGAATTCTACATTCTCTATTTTTAAATTGATATAACTTTTTATTTGTAACTTAATTTTGATAAAAAAAATATATTAAAAAATTATGATTTTTTTTATTATCTTTAATATGACACCAATATTGAATATGTAAAAATAAAAAGAATTTTGTATATACGATACCTGGAGGTTTTTAGGCTCAAAACTTTAAAATTAAGATCTATTGATTTCAGGAGGCAATTAGGGGATGTTTTATTTATTGGCTTAAAATGTCCACAAAGGAACATTAAATTCTGAAATATCTATTTACGAATTCAATTTGAATCAACAAAACCACTCAGTTAAAGCTTTCTTAAAATTCGAAAAACATAAGGGATGTTGGCAAGTCAAGAGAGTAGAAGCTACATGGTTGGGACCTCCAACTTAAAAAAAAAAAAAAAAACTTTTTAATTTGGTATAACTTTTTATACTTATAATTTGATTTCAACAAGAAAAAGCACAACATTCAGCAGCCGCAGCAGCAAATAATAATAATAATAATAATTATAATTATAATTATAATTATAATTATAATTATAATTATAATTATAATTATAATTATAATTATAATTATAATTATAATTATAATTATAATTATAATTATAATTATAATTATAATTATTTTAATAATAATAATAATTTTTTATTCTTCTAAACCTATTATTCTATATGCTCAGTAAAAACAACAACAACAACATTAGTAGCATCCACAACAATAACAACAACAATCAAGCCTTAGATGGTATAAGTAGCATTACATGGTAAAAAATTGTTTTGCATATATGTATAGAAGAAGATTATAAGCGTATCTATACAACTGAAATTTGAGCTCAATTTTTTTACCATTTTGGTTTTCATTGTATAATAGATGCACTTGTTTTTTATGGATGTTTTTATATATAACTAAAGTAAAAATAAAATAATGACACATTTATTGTATTAGTAAATCTTAGTCACTATAATTATGTTTGACTTTGTACTATATAAAGTCATAGGTATAATAATTTTAGTCATATTTTTGTTCAAAAAATTTATTCCTATAAAATTATAAGAAAAATCTTCTTTTTATGGAGTATGTCCGTAGAGGCGCATCATGTCTTTTCGTTTGACATAAGTTGAATCTTTTTCGTTAAGATGGTCAATTTTTAGTTAGATAAATATAACGATTTTATAAGATTCTTAAGAATTGATTTGTATATCTTGATAGCAATTCTAAAGAATTTGAAAGCAACATGGCGACCCATATATTTGAAAGCTAATATATGCACAAGTTTTAATGAAAAGGGATAGATATTAGCTTATGCACGAACTCGTCTTATACTCTTCAACTTCTGGATCTTCTTTCTGGTGAACACTTTACACATCTATGGAGACTCATCAATTCAAATATGAGCTTCATCAAAATCGTACATACAAATGCCGGACGCTAAACTCTATTTGTGTTGACTGTTGAATATACAAAGTTGGAAGATTTTCCAAAACAGGAGTAAACAAGTTTTGGATTCTCAAAATATGACTGCTATATTTTTCTTTCCAAAAATAGAGGTAGCATTGCAGTATATACTGCCATCTATTAGTCGTTACTGTCAAATAATTGCAGTAAAAGACAGTCAACATGATAATATTCACTATCATAGTGACAATATTTTTAAATCGTGATAATATTTTTCAATCATGGCAGTAGTGACTCATATTTCGAAAAGAAAACCATAATGATCATATTTTGGAATTCCAAAACTTATTTAGTCCTATTTACTTGGACATATGATGTGGCAAGTAAAATGATGTGGAAATCGAATTTGATTCGAGTGCTGACATGGCATAATGACATGGAAATAATATTCATGTTTTGAAAATAAGTTTGAAAGTACCCTACATTGGAAAATAAGATTGGAAGGTACCCTACTTTCCGGAAAACCCCTGAATAATGGATGTTTTACCTAGTAAACTTGAGCGCCCCCAATTAAATACTACGTACATTTAGTTTGTAACATAAAATTCAAATTTTATTTGTATCTTCTTGATTTTAATTGATTAATCAATCACTTTGGTAGAGAGCCCCCACTACAGTTGATCATGTTATACAACATCGTGTAAAGTCACAGATTTAGCAATTATTGCATCGACTGAGTCACCATGATTTACAACTATTCATATGTCTTATCACAGTGATCGGAGCAAGAGAATATATTAAGGTGGACCAGTACAAAGAATAATTTTGAAAATTATTTACACAATTTGATAGAGTATATGGGCCTAGACCCCATGGCCCACATACTCTAAGGACGAACATACCAACAGAGCATCCACGTGGCACGCTACGGCCAGTAGGGGCCCGCAACGGCCCAGAGTCGAGTCAACCCAGCATCCCACCAAGGCCACCGGGGGCCGCATCGGCCCTAGGTCCGCATCGGCCAAACCGAACCGCATCGGCCAGACTTCGTCCAGGCAGAATGCATTTTCCTACTTTATTTGTTAACTATTGTACTCAGCCCATTAGTGGCCCTATTTCGCCCAAAGAAGGCATGATTATTGTAATGGGCCTCCTAAGCCCAAGGCTAGAAGCCCAAATCCACATTTTTACCTATAAATAGACCCCAAGGGGCTAGTTATAGGGGGTTGAGAAATATAATTACTCATTTTCTCTCTCTTGCTCTCACTTCTCTCTAGAATTAAATACTCTATCACAAATCTTCTATCTTAATAATTTAAACAAAGTTAAATTTGGAGTGGGTCAGGACCTAAGTTAGCTCCCTTCTAGCTATGCCTCTGCGGTGTTGGGTTGCGGCGTGAGAATCCTTATGATTGGGGATTCAACCTTTTGGAATATCGGATTGAGCTACTCTTAGCTAACTGGTGATCAAAATATTTCTATATAGTTGGAACTAAGATGCTTATTCCAAGACAAAAATTAAAGAAAAATATGTTACCCGCAATTGTTTATTATTATGAATAACAACAATATTATAATCAAGAAATCCGACAATTCAACAATGAAAACAAGTATTTAATTTACTTCACATATCTTATTATTATTGTAAGAGGAATTAACAACTTTGACTAGTAAACCGAAAAGCGCGAAAGGGGCAGAGAAGAAAGGACTATGGTCACTTTCCAAATTGTACACGCTCGCCGGCGGCCACTTGTTGATCATCGCATCTTGCTGCTCCGATCTAAGGATGTTGTCGTACTTTGTTTTTATGTAAATCCGAGGAACGCTTTCTGCACAGTCTGTTTCCTTGAACTTAGCACTCTGTAATGCTTTTATTGGTCCTGGTCGTAGTAGCATTTCTGCTAACATCGAATCCTAAAAACAGATATATGTTGTCCCCATCATATAAACACACACACATTTAACATGATTTTACTTGGACTAAAATTTGTTGGTCTAGTCATATCTAGTCTATTTAAGTCTGGTATGGTCTGATAAATGTTTGGTCTGTGTGTATGTCATAACTATGGAAGTCAGGTCTGTTTAAGTCTGATCCGATCTGGTCTATTTAGGTCTGGTTTGAGATTGAATACAGTTCAAGTAAAAACACCCTGAGAATAACTTAAGTTATCATTACTTTTCTGAGTTTTAGCACGTTTAGTCTCCGATTATTATGTGAATGCTAGTATTCAACTTTGATTTTTTCCTTTTTAGTCGTAGACCATTATGCTACAGACACTTTTGATATCCATCTTTGAAAATTTTCATAATTAGCCTTTTGACTTTCATAAAAATGACATTTTTGGTCCTTCAACTATTATAATAATGACATTTTTGTCCTCCACCTATTGTGTCAAGATCATAGTAGTGAAAGGACTAAAAATGTCAATTTGATAATACTGATGTGACTAATTGTGGAATTTTCAAAGTTAATGATTAAAATGTTTCTAGCACAATAGTCGTGTACCAAGTAAAAATTAAAACTCGAGTACCAAAATCATTGACACAATAGTCGGGAACCAAAAGTAACAAAAACTCTTGGTTTTCTTATTGACTTTGTTTAAGGATGTTATTTTAAATATTTTTGTGTAATACTTTTTACTAAAAAGTATCTAGTAGACAAATTTAATTGCTCTCTATGTTGGCAATCAGAATAAGCAATACGGATCCACAAGAAATAAAAGCGATTGATTGTGAATTTTAGATGTGTTTTCATGCAAAGAGATAATTATATTCGAGTAATCTAGAAACTCTTATAGTTACAAGGATTGTGCAATATAGACTATTAGAGCATCCCCATTGGTGAGTTTATTTGAAGATTAATTAGATGATGTGTCAGATTATTTTGAAGATTAACATTGAGGGAAAGAGATTATTTAGGTGGATTATTTAAAAAGAAAATCCAGTATCAAGATCCAAATCCCGGATTATTGTAGATTATAGTTAAAACGCATTTAATGCATTTCCAAGAAAAATTAATGATGTGAATATCATTGTTGACGAATAATTTTAAGCTATGAGATTATTCAAAATTTAATGCGTATGAATGATGTGGCAATTACGTGTACTAGAAAAACAGTTTATTCGAATAGCATGAATGTAGACACTCTTAGAATTCATATACGACGTATAATTTTGCTTAACTAACCTGTGATCTTACGAAGCTAAATCAGATAGATACGCCAAGTTTGTAGTTTATAAAAAACCAATTGATAGACAACCGAATGTTTTTAAGTATTAAATATTGTACGGAGTAGTTTTTGTCCAAAAGTTATAGGTCTCGTGTGATCGGCCACAGTGAGCTAGAATATAAGTATATATTATATATATGAAGTACATGAAAAGTATCGGTATATGGTACTCCGTGTCATACAAAACTTTAACAAATTTCTTTATCCTAAAATGTTTACTATTTCCATTTTAAGTAAAAAAATACGAAGAATATAATTATACTTGTTTCTCTTTTCTCTTTACAATTAAAATATGAGACACAGTTTTATTTTATTATTTCACGTGTAAGTCAAAATTAATTAACCAAATTTTATGGGATGAAGAGTCTGGAGTATTAATAAAGTAAAAGATCTGGTACATTGTATGTTTTCCTTTCAAAATAGGGTGTTTTCTCTAATTAATGCTAATTAAATAAATGTGTACGAAATTAGGGTTGGAAATATATACTCTTACTTTGCCACTTCTTATATATATAATCATTGTTTCTTGTAAACATGTGATCTTTCTCTATATTTAAATTGAATCTTGTAAATATGTGATCTTTCACTAAGTGCTTGTTGAAGGGAAAAATAGGGCTTTAGACAGGAAAGAACAATAATCTTGTACGCAAATGCTCAAATTGAATGTCGAAAATACAAATTAAACGTAAGATTCACAAAATATGGTTGGATCAAAAGTGAAATTAGTTGTGAATTTGTAATTGAAGTTATTTTAAATTTCAAATGGAAAATAGTAATCAAATACATATTGATCAAAATAAATATCAAGACGCGACACGACAAATTGAAAAAGAAATACTACGTACAAAAGTAGAAAGTTTTGCGAGTGGGGCGTGCTGATATTTGTCTTAGGCCGTCTCCAACAGTTTACATCATTTTCTACACTAAAATGGCGTAAACTATCATACAATACTTTATCTCCAGCAATTTACACTATTTTTATCACTAAAAAGGAATATGCTTTTTTTTGCTAATTTTTTACCATTATTATATTCAATCCTCTAAATATCATGTAATTATACATTAGTCCCTCATTTAATATGTTTTTTTGGCATTTCACTCATTATTTCACAAATACAAGCAGCAATACTACTATAATCAATATTTCACGCAATTCACTCATTACAAATACAACAACCCAATACTTCACAAATACATCCTAAAGCCTTATAAAATTAAATATTAAAATAATATTATAATAATTCATACGTCATAAATAAAATATTACGTAAATTTAAAGCAGTAACTAAATAAATATTCTTAATTTAGTTGTCAGAATATGAGAATTCTTCCCACATTTGATCAATGGAGCTCAATATGAGTGTTTTTGTCGAGAATTTGTTTACGTTGGGTAAGAAATTGAGTGAACCTCGCTGCCTCATCAACTGCCACTTCAACATCTGGAACTGGGCCGGTGTATCTTACACATCTTCAACTGGTGCATGTATATCACGTTCATCCTCTATTATCATATTGTGCAAAAAACAATTCATGCACTCATTATGCCATGTAAGACTTTTTTCTTCAAAAAACGTGAAGGTCCCGCAATAATTACAAATCGGGATTGCAAAACTCCAAAGGCACATTCACCATCTTTTCTACATGCTTCTTGTCTCATGGCAAAATATTTCTTCTTTCTACCTTGTTGTTGATGAATTGTTTTGACAAGTGTTGACCACTTTGGATATATATCATCCGATAAATTGTAACCGGCATTGTACTCTTTTCCTTGAACAAAATAATGAGCAGGAGGAGCAATCCCATGTGGTAAATCTAAAAAAAGATTGGATACTTCTAAAACGTTAATATCATTATTACTACCTTGCATTCCAGCTGGTCACCGACTCACTCTCCATTATGGGAGGTCCTGGGTTCAATTCTCAATGGAGTGAGATTGGTCTCAGTTTACCCCAGGCCCCCCACCCCCCACCCCCGACGCCCCTTGGGGTAAAAAAATCATAATTTGCCACCACTTTAAGGATGATAGTTGGTGAGCCACTACGATCAGAATATTGTCCTGCCTATGCCGTTGGACAGTTTTTTCATTTCCAATGCATGCAATCAAGACTTCCCAACATTCCTGGAAATCCACGTTGTTTTCCAATGTTAAGAACTCTCGCTATGTCATTATCATTAGGTCTTCTTAGATAGCGCTCTCCATATATTTCGACAATAGATCAACAAAAATATTTTCATACTTTCAATTTTTGTAGACTCGCCCATTATAACTTACTCGTTTGTTGCATCTGCAGGCACACCATAAGCCAACATACGAAATAGAGCTGTTACTTTTTGTAAAGCTGATAATCCGAGTGTACCTGTTGCACTTCTTCGTTGGTGGAAACAGTTGTCATGCTTCGTAACTGCACCAACAATTTGTATGAACAAATCTCGCGACATACGATATCGTCAATGAAATAATGCTTCTTCGTAACGTGGATTTGGGGAGAAACAATCCAGGAACAAATTATGGTCTCCAATTTCTCGATCACGGTCTATCATGACGATGAACTGATCCATCCTGCCTAATAGGCCTATTCAATTCACCAATACAATGACTTATTTTCATGTTGTTGTTGTTTAATGCCACCATCATCATTTATTCTTCTTCATCAAGTTGTGTTATAGTGTTCATCACTAAAGCATCATCATATGAAGAAGATGATGATGATATGTAAGTGGATACTTGTAACACCTCGGCTCACAGGACCCGAGTTAGTTACTCCACACATCCTCCAGACCTCTAGTACTACCCTCACAAACCGACACTAGCCTTTTCCGCGCACATTTTCCTCACTCGTGCGCGCCCTGAGAAACTTCTCTGAGGGTTACCCATCACAAGACTACTCCCATGCAAGCACGCTTAAATTTGAAGTTCTTAGTAGATGAGCACCCTCAAAAGGAGATGCATCTTGTTGGTATGAGTAATACTATTAATCCGTTTATATTAAATCTCAAGTGTTACAATAGTCCAATATTAAAGTTCATTTTTTGTTGATGTGGGGATCCATCTTATGTGCTAATTTGTTCTTATTTATACAAGTGCACTTATTTCCAAAGATAAGAATACAATGGTCGTGAAGATAAGGAAATCCATCCAACGGGTAATCTAATGATTCTCTATCAACTTGTATCTGAAATTGTGAGTAGTACGTGAAAAGTATGCTCATTTCAAAAGATAAGAATTCAATGATTGTGAAGATAAGGAAATCCATCCAACGGGTACTCTAACGATTCCCTATCAACTTCTTTCTTAAATTGTAAGTAGTATGTGACAAGTATGCTTATATCAAAAGATAAGAATTCAATGGTTGAGAAGATAAGAAAATCTATCCAACAGGTAATCTTAAGATTCTTTATCAACTTATGTCACAAATTGTACATAGCTGACAAGTATGCTCATCTCAAAAGATAAGAATCCAATGGTTGTGAAGATAAGGAAATCCATTTAACGGCTAATCTAAGAATTCCTTATCAACCTCTACATTCTACAAATACTAATGCAATGAATTATCACACTTCATCAAAACTGCTGTCTCATAATCTATAGTATATCTTTTTTCTTTACGACCAAAATGTCTTCAAGATCAATTAGTTGCACCATAACAGAAGACGCATTCTTGTGTGAAGTGTATTTAGACATTA